AAGAAGAATAATAATAAGAATAATAAGAAGAATACTAATAAGAATCAGAGGGCGAATACTAATAATAAGAAGACTAATAACAAACATAATAATATTCATACTTATAATACTAATACTAAGAAAAATATTACTCAGAAGACGAATACTAATAAGAAGAGTAATAAGAATACTATTGATAAGACGAAGAAGAAGAACAATAATACGAAGCAGAAGAATACTACGAATAATAATAATAATAATAATAATACTACTAATACTAATAATAATAAGGATAATAAAAATACGAATAAGAGGAAGAAACATAAGACTAATAATACTATTAATAATAAGAATAATAATAATGATAATAACAATATCATTAATAATACTACTACTAATCATACTAAAATTATTATTAATAATAATAATAAGAAAAAGACGAAGAAGAAGACGACTAATAATAATAATAAGAATAAGAAGAGAAGAATAGTAATAATAATACGAATAATAATAGTACTAATAATAATGTTAATAATAATACTACTAATAATAATGATAATCATAAGAAGAAGAATAATACTAATACTAATAATAATAATACTAAGAAGAATAATAATAATATGAATAATAAGCAGAATAAGAAGAGGAGGAGGAGGAGGAGGAGGAGGAGGGAGGAGGAGGAGGAGGAGGAGGAGGAGGAGGAGGAAGGGGGAGGAGGCTTCTGCTCCCTCCGCCGCCGTCATCATCGCACCTGCGGTTTATTTTTGTCACGACACGAGGCCCGCGGGAGCACCTGGCGCGTTCCAGCAAGGGCAGCGCCTTCGGCGCGGCTCGCCTTCGGTGCACAGAGTGGTGGTCATCATATGAGCGGGCATACGTTTCGCAAGTTTGAACAGAACATTTTCCTGTCGAGGCCACGGCCTCCACGCCATCCCTTCATGGGCACGAGCGAGCATCTCATTGGAGCCCGCACGACTCCAGCGTTCGTTCGTTGGTTCGTTCGCTCGCCCTCGGCGGGAGGTGGCGGAGGGCCCGCGGGGAAGCTGGCAGAAGCAGAACGGCGGCGGCTCCGCCAGCGGAAGCCGGCGGAGACTCGGCAGAGGGCTGCGGAGGTAGACGTGAGACGTCAGCATGTTTGGATTCGGAGTTTCTGGAGCCGCTCACATGGCCACGGGCACGCGGTGCTGCCATGCACATGGTCGGGGCGCGGCGCTGTCGCAGACGCACATGCGCGGGGCCAGGAAAGGTCTCGCCCCTCTGACCCCCCCCCCTCCTCTTCCACGGCCCCGATCCCTCAGGTTCCCAGGTCGCTACTGGGCTCGCGCAGCATCCCCACATTCGCCAGAGTACACTCGGCGTCGTCGCCTGTCGGAGATTCACTCGTCATGGTCGCCAGCATGCTTCGCTTAGCGAGGTTTCGCTTGCCTTCGCGCAGCTTCGCTCAGCGCGGCCCACGTGCGGTGAGCGCATGTGACTGCGGTGAGCTAAGTGCTGCATTGAGCTGCGCTTCGCTTACCTTCGAGCTGCGGTGAGCGCAAGTGACTTGCGCTCACCGCAGCTCGGCCCGCCCCGTGTCAGTTCATGCCAATTTCCGTGCGCAGCCATTTTTGACGCAAAAGCCACTTCCAAAAATTGAGGGTCTAGGCGCCCTGCGCTACGTTAGGATGCAATTCCTGGGAGGTTCAAATCAGCGTCGGCGCTGGTACACCTGTTGCCGAAAGCAGACCATATCCTGCCCAATCCCGTATAATTTCGCTCAGCCCCGTAGAATCTGGCCCAATTCTGCTTCATCTTGGGCTCAATCTGGGCTCAATCTGGGCCAATCTGGCTCAGCGGCCCGTCAATCGGGCCCAGTAGCCTTCAATCGCTCTCGTGAAGACATCTCAGAAGTTGCATCCCAAGCTGCGCACCGCGGCCACCGCTCCTCGAGGCCCTCCAGGGATGGCGAGCCCCATGGGCGGCTGGCTTCTGGCCGTCGGCGAGCAGCCCCAGAGATCACGGCGGGCGCTCGCGTGGGTGGAGGCAGCTACGCGTGAGAGTGACCCTTCGCCGGAGTGACCCTTGGTGCGGGCCCAAGCACCGACTCCGAGCCCCACAGTACTTTGGTGGGGAATCTCCCGACGTAGGATTGTGGCAGAAGTGCGCGGCCAACGATGCGAACAAGTAGGGCGGATATCTCCGCCTCGGAAGAGCTCTGGGGTGAACACTTCCGCAAAGGTACGGCGGAAACAGCGACGGCAAAGTAGAGTGGACATCAGCATCAAATGAGATCTTGAAAAGTAGGACGGAAATCTCCTCACTGCTTGCGAGATCGCTCACAGTACGGCGGATCCGAAGTCGGGGTGGCCTGAAGCGGCTTACCCACATGGATTCGGCCACCCCGTGCCCCCTAAAGGCGTGCACCAAAGGCCGTTCTTGCCTAGGGCCACTTTGACGTGCAGCCGAGTGCAGGCAGCCAGCGCGCCGCCCGCACCGCAGCAGCCCTCGACTCCCAGGGTGGCTCGCGGGCGCCCCGGCGCGGGCAGGTCGCTCCAGTGTTCCGCTCCGGGCCATGCAGGTGCCGGGCTCTGGTGTTCTTAGCCCAGGCAGGATCGAGGAGGCACAAACATTCGGAGGCCCCCAGACGGTGTGGTGACCACACCGTGTGGTGAGTCGGTGGGGATTCGGGGTCATTGCACGGTTTTGTTACTCGAGTCCCTCTCCGAGGATGTCTTGGGCGACAGGGGCCTCCAGGGTCCCAAGACCGTGCAGTGACTGTCCCTGCGGTGAGGTCTCTTGGGGTTCCGAGGTCACCGCACGGTCTATCACCACACGGTTTTGGGATCCCCAGCACATGGGTCAAGGCGCACGGATTGGCGACGGCTCCCGTTTCCATACCAAATTGGCCCGCTCCGTCGCCAGATCAGGCGGCATTTTCGACATGTTTCTGGGGTTGTGATGGTTCTACGTTTCCCGATCCGTGTCGGTGTGTGCCCAGCAGGATCCGCAGGCCTTTTGGGCATCGTTCTCCCAGTGACGTTCCCGGCGGCCTCCCCGACATGAAGACGCTCGTCGCGGGGATTTCCACCAAGCCTCGCCTGGACAGCCGCGAGCTCGGTCGGTACGTGGTGGAGGCGCTCACGGCGCCCGAGCTGCTCGGCATGGAGACGCCTCCCCGATGCGTTCCAAGGCTCGATGATTTGAAGGACATGTGTGAACCCAATTATTGTTTGCCCCGCTCAGCTTCGCCCACAGCCTTGAGATCTGGGTGCAGCATTTGTTTCACACTTGGTGTTTTCGCCAGGTTTCGGGCCTGGGGCCATCACAGATCGATCCAGCTTGAAATGTACCGCACCGCGCTGCAGTCTAGTGTTCCGGTCGCGTGTTTTTTTTCCCGCGATGTGGCCTTTTTTTGTCGCAGCGTCGGATCTCAGGGTAGCATGTGTCGGCCCTCACTGTCCCGCCTGCGTTGTATTGAAGTTGGCGTTACCCCAACATACAAATACTATGTGTGCGCCGCCCCCCCAGGGGCGACGCGCGTACCGAGAAATCTTATATAATAGAACGGGCGTCCAGGGCCCCGGGCCCCGGGGCCGCACACTTTTTCCAAATTCTTTACGCTTCGCGTACCCCCACCAGCCCATCTCACAACAGCAACTCTTGCGAAGCATGCCGACAGTCGTGTTTGTCAGGCGTGTGTCCGCTTGCCCCCGCATATCTCCCCTGTTCCTCCTTCCTCCCGCCTCCTTGTACATCCTCCTTGTGGGGGGAGCGGGAGAAGGACGAGGCGGAGGAGGAGGGAGAGAAAGCGCTCCTCGTGTTTGAGTCGTTTGGGGTTTCTCGTCCTGGTGTGAGTCGTTCGGGCCCTTCTTCCTGGTGTGAGTCGTTCGGGCTCTTCGTGGTGTGAGTCGTTCGGGCTCTTCGTCCTGGTGTGAGTCGTTCGGGCTTCTCGTGGTGTGAGTTGTTCGGGCCCCTCGTCCTGGTGTGAGTCGTTCGGGCCCCTCCTCCTGGTGTGACTCGTTCGGGCTCCTCGTGGTGTGAGTCGTTCGGGGCCCTCGTCGTGGTGTGAGTCGTTCGGGCTCCTCGTGGTGTGAGTCGTTCGGGCGCCTCGTCCTGGTGTGAGTCGTTCGGGCCCCTCCTTCTGGTGTGAGTCGTTCGGGCTCTTCGTGGTGTGAGTCGTTCGGGCCCCTCGTCCTGGTGTGTGAGTCGTTCGGGCTCGTCGTGGCGTGAGGCGTTCGGGCACCTCGTCCCCTTTTGGGGCGTCTTGGGGGCCTCTTGGCGGCCCCAGGGGCTTCTAGGAGCGTCTTGGGTGCCTTGGGGGAGCCTCTTCGGGCCTCTTGGGAGCCTCTTGGAGGCCGTTTGGGGCGTCTTGGGGGCTCTTGGCGGCCCCAGGGGCTTCCAGGAGCGTCTTGGGTGCCTCGGGGGAGCCTCTTGGGGCCTCTTGGGGGCCTCTTGGGGGCATCTTGGGGGCCTCTTGGAGGCCTCTTGGGGGCCTCCTGGGGGCCTCTTGGGGCCATCTTGGGGCCTCTTGGTGCCTCCTGGGCGCTTCTTGGGGCCATCTTGGAGGGAATCGATCAAAGAAGAGGGGAGCTTTAATGAGCGCTGCCCCCTCAGAAGGGCAAAATGAGCCCAAAACCTTCGTAAAATCAATGATTTTGCCTGCGAAGAAGAGAGGAGCTTTAATTAGCGCTGCCCCCTCAGAAGGCCAAAATGGGGCCAAAACCGTAGTAAAATCAATGATTTTGGCGTCAACGAAGAGGAGAGGATTTTTTCTGCCTACCCCCGTCGGGGCCAGAATCCTCGTGAGGGGTGTCGTTTTTTAGCCCTCCCAGGAGTCGAAAATGACCCCCCTGACGACCCGCGAAACCCCCTCTCCAGGTCCAGGGGGAGGGGGTAGGGGGAGGGGTAAACCCCTCCCCGAAGGGGAAGAAGGGGGGTTGAGAACAGGGAGAGCTCCCTAAACCACTCACGCCCAAAGGGCTGGTGGGACTCCCCCCCCCCCCTGGTACCGAATTTAGCCCTCGCGGTGCGGGGCCCGTTTTCGGTGTCCCAGAGTGGGTATTTCAGCTTAGAGGTGGGCGAAGATAGCCGTTGGCATGCTCGGCTCGAAGCCGCGAGACCCCCGAGCCCGCCATGACCTGCCCACAGCGGCACAAGAGGCCACCAAGACCCCTCAAGAAAGCCCCAAGAGCGCCCCAAGAGGGCCTAGAAGGAGCAAAAATCGTCCCCATCCCTTCGGAAAACGTGCATTTTTATTAGATTCGGCTTTGGGATTGTCGCAAAGTCCCGAACGGCCCCTGCGGCCCCCCAGATCACCCCAAGAGGAGCCCAAGAGGGCCCCAAGACGGCCCACGAGGGCTTCAGGACGGCTTAAGAGGCGCCCAAAACGGCCAAAAACGGCCCCAAGGGCGGCCCAAAAGGCGGAAATCGGATTCACAGCTCGAGCCCTCCGCCCCTGGAAAGCCCCCGAGATCCTCTGCAGGCCCCCACGAGGCTCCCAACAGACCACAAGATGCCCCCAGGACGCCCAAAAGAGGCCCCAAGAGGCCCCGAGCCGGCCCCCAAGAGGCCGCAAAATTGTTTCCAAGAAGCCCCCCAGAGGCTTCCCAAAGGACGCCAGGACGCCAACACCCATCCCATATGCTCTTGACCCACAACCCGGCGCGGAGGCAGGATGGGCAGGCCGTGCGGGTCCAGGCAGCACGCTGTTGTCTTCCGTTTTCTCCGTGATCTCCTCCACACGCATACCGTCGTCGACTCCTACGCCCCCGCTGGTGTCGTAGTTCGGTGCGTTTCCAGAGAAGGCGGAGGAGGAAGAAAGAGTGGGAGAGGTAAGCACGAGGACTTTGGAGAGGCCTCCAAATCCACCCAACGATGACAAGAGCGGCCACGGCGACGGCGGCGCGAGGAGGACGAGGAAGAGTAGGAAGGACGATCTGGAGGAGACGAAGAAGGAGGAGGACGAGGACAAGGAGGAGGAGGAGGAGGAGGAGGATTCGCATTAGGAAGGGGCAGACATGACGAACAGGACGAAAGGGGGGAGGAAGACGATGAGGAGCACGAAGCGACGAGCGAGGACCGAGGAGCGAGGAGGTTGGTTGGTTCTCCTGGTTTCCGCTCGAGTCTCCTCTCTCTCTCTCTTTTCTTCTCGGGTATCCCCCCCGTTGTGTCCTGAGGTGCTCCCCCGGCCGCGAGACGCGAAACGTGGCGCAATACACATTGAATATCCAGTTCCCTGCGGCAAGTCCCGCCCCCGTGCCAGCCCAGCATTGCCATCGGCAGCTATTCTAATCGGTGTGGATGATGACGATGATGATGACGATGAAGATGGTGGCGACGATGACGCGGATGACGATGATGAGTGTGATTATGACAACGATGGCGATGATGGTGGTGATGATGACGATGATGATGATCATGATGATGATGACGTGACGGTGGTGATGACGGTGAGGAGGATGATGATGATGGTGATGATGATGATGATGATGATGACGACTATTGTGATGATGATAATGACGTCTCAGACGATGACCGTGACAGGGTGGGGAGGACGGTTCGCAGAGGGGAAGAGGATAACGAGGAGGATTGTGGCGGACGCGAGGGATGCACAACATGATAACGATGATGACGACGATAGCGAGGCTGTTGATTGTGATGATGACGATGACGACGACAATGGTGATGTTGGTGGTGGTGGTGATGACGATGACGATGGGGATGGTGACGGTGATGGTGGAGGTGGCGATTATGCATGTTATTCTGATGATGGCGACGATGAGGATGATGATGGGGATGAGGACGAGGACGATGAGGAATAGGAGGAAGGGGAGGAGGAGGAGGAGGAGGACGAGGAGGGGGGGGGCGACAACGACGACGAAGAGGAACGTCGTCACATGCAGCACCTTTCGTTTTCATTTTCTCTTCGGGAGCTCCTGAGGGGCAGTCTTGGATATCCCTTGGAGCTCTATTGGTTCTTGGCCCGTCTTGAGGCCCTCTTGGGCCGTCTTTGGGCTCTCTTAGGTCTTTCGTGACCGTCTGCGGGGTCTGTGGGGTTCGTCATGAGGCCGTCTTGTGGCGTCCAGCAGTCCTCTTGGGCCGTTTTGAGTCCCTACGACGGCCCTTCGGAGCCAGCTTGAGGCCCTCTTGGGTCCGTCCTGCGTTCTCCAGAGGCCCCCTTGGGATGTCTTGCTGTCTTAGATGCTAATTGGGCTATCTTGAGGCCCTCTTGGGCCGTCGTGGGACCATCTTTTTGAGGCCCCTCGGGCCGTCTTGAGCCGATCGAAACTCGGAAAGGCGAGAATGCGGAAATCATTCGAAAACCGAACGGAAATCAATCATTTTGGCCTTTGGATGCCTCTTGGGTGGTCATGAGGCCATGTTAGGGGATATAGGGGCTATCTTGGGCCGTCTTGGAGGCATCTTGGGCCATCTTGGCGGCCTTGGTGACCTCCCAAGCCCGTCTTGGAAGCCGTCTTGGGCATCTTAGACGCCTTGGAGAGCGCAGGGGAGGCGTCAGGCAGCCCAGAGAGCCTCGGGAAGAGGGGGTGATGCGAGGCCTTGCACGCGGGTAGAGGGTGGGGGGCCTTAAAAGATTGCAGAAACCTTGCCAGACAGCACTTGGCATCCTAGCACGCTTCAACGTGCCAGGGGGCACGGTGGTGGATTGTCGATGCAAGCCTACTGTCTCATGCTGGCACAGGTCCTTCACCAACCATCATTTGCGCCTCGCCGACCCGTTGCGACAAGATTGACCGAGCACCTTCTCCAAAACCTCACGATGCAAATGACGTCCTTGATTCCATGCTCCCGGATGGAGGCGCCGTGGACGATATTATACCCAGCGCTGCTTCTTTTCAGTCGACCGAGAACGAGACGCGACGGCAATACCAACACAATGACCTTGGCTATGATGAGTGGCTCGGCTGTGGCAGAGGTGGGGCCTTCTCCACAGCCTCCGATGTTGTCAAGCCATTGGCTTCGCCGGTCCAGAAAGTCCTCGCCGCCCCGCCAGTAGGCCTCCCTGCTCCTGACATGGAAATGCCCCCCGCTGAACCATCCAGCCCATTGCCATCCTCCGCCGGGTTCGCCGCTGCCCCGCCGGCAATCCCAGGTGGCATTGATTAAAGACAACGACGTAGGCTGCGCCGGTTCCTCCAAACAATGCCATGTCGTTCCCATGCTTGCCTC